TGAACTGGCTGATGAAATGTTGCTGAAATGTTCAATCTTGGTGAAAATATCAGATGAAAACCAAATGCACAGAGATAGAATAGGTGGTACCTGGTTCAATTGTAGTAACTGTGAGAGGGAAGCTAACAGAATAACAGAATAACAGAGCTGGAAGAGACCTTGGGGGGGGTCTTCTGGTCCAAACCCCCCCCCTGCTCAAGGCACGAAACTCTACACCATTTCAGACAAATGACTCTCCAATCTCTTCTTAAAAGTGAAAAAAGTAAGGCTCTACATTTAGGCAAGAAAAACCAAATGCACAGGTATAATAGAGGGATAACTTGCTCAATAGCAGCAACTGTGAGAGGGACCTTGGAGTCCTAGTGGACAATCCCTTAAACAGGAGCCAGTCGTGTGCTGCAATTGCCAAAAAGGTCAACACAGTGCTGGGCTGCATCAACAGAGGGATAGAATTAAGATCAGGTGAAGCCTTAATACCACTTTACAAGACCTTGGTAAGGCCACACTTGGAAGACGGCATCCAGTTTCGGTCACCATGATGTAAAAAAGATGCTGAGACTCTAGAAAGAGTAGAGAGAAGAGCAACAAAGATGATCAGGGGACTGGAGGTTAAAACATATAAGGAACGGTTGCTGGAACTGGGTATGTCTAGTTTAATGAAGAGAAGGACGAGGGGGGACATGATAGCAGTGTTCCAATATCTCAGGGGTTGCCCCAAAGAAGAGGGAGTCAAGCTATTCTCCAAAGCGCCTGAAGGCAGGACAAGAAGCAACAGATGGAAACTAATCAAGGAGAGAAGCAACCTAGAACTAAGGAGAAACTTCCTGACAGTTAGAACAATTAACCAGCGGAACAATCTGCCTCCAGAAGCGGTGAATGCTCCAACACTGGAAATTTTTAAGAAGACACTGGACAGCCATTTGTCTGAAATGGTATAGGGTTTCCTGCCTGAGCAGGGAGCTGGACTAGAGGACCTCCAAGGACTCTTCCAGATTCTATTCTATTCTATTCTATTCTATTCTATTCTATTCTATTCTATTCTATTCTATTCTATTCTATTCTATTCTATTCTAAATAATAATAATAATAATAATAATAATAATAATAATAATAATAATAATAAAGTTGGAAGGGACCTTGGGGGTCATCTAGTCAACCCCCTGCTCAGGCAGGAAACTCTATACCATTTCGGACAAATGGCTGTTCAGTCTCTTCTTAAAAACTTCCACTGTTGGAGCATTCACCGCTTCTGAAAGCAGGTTGTTTCACTGATTAATTGTTCTGACTGTCAGGAAGTTTCTCCTTAGTTCTAGGTTGCTTCTCTCCTTGATGAGTTCCACCTGTTGCTTCTTGTCCTGCCTTCAGGTGCTTTGGAAAATAGCTTGACTCCCTCTTCTTTGGGGCAGCCCCTGAGAGATTGGAAGGGTGCTATCATGTCCCCCCTCGACCTTCTCTTCATTAAACTAGACATTCCCAATTCCAGCAACCGTTCCTTGTATGTTTTAGCCTCCAGTCCCTTAATCCTCTTTGTTGTTCTATTCTATTCTATTCTATTCTATTCTATTCTATTCTATTCTATTCTATTCTACCTCCCACACTGGAGTGCCAAAACCTCCAGTATTGGATCTCGGAGTCCTAGTAGACGATCACTTAAATAGGAGCCAGCCATGTGCTGTAGTCACCAAAAATGCCAACACAATCCTAGGCTGCATTAACAGAGGAATGGAATCAAGATCACATGAAGTGTAAATGCTGCTTTGTACTGTCTTGGTAAGGCCACATTTGGAAGATCGCATCCAGTTTTGGTTGCTATGATACAGAAATGATGCTGGGACTATAGAAAGAAGGGTGCTGCATTTGAGAGTATCGGTGACTTTTTTCCGTGTTCTGACATACAGTTTTCAAGCAGCTAGGCAAACGTGACCCTTGGTTCCCAGATTATGACTGCAGGGCACAGAGAACTCAAATCTGATTTTTGCAAACTACGTCTGTGTTCACACAACGTGCCAAGCCCAGAGGCGTTGACAGTTTGTTTAGCAATAAAGCTTGCACAGCCCGGTTAGCCTTAACCTTAGTTAGATTCTGGGTGGCTTTGCAGTGAATTCGATTTGTTTGACGAGCTTATGCTTTAGCATCTTTTGCAAGCCGGAAAAAAAATCCACTCGGTAGCCAAGCAAACTGTGTGGTGGGAACACATGTGGTTCTCCCCCTAAGAAGTCAACTCATCTTCAAACATCAACGCATCTTTCAGTCACCACATCTGTATGAAAAAAACCGTGCAAATTCCCATGCTAATTTGTGGAAGGTTTAAAAGCTCTGTGAAACAGTTTGAAACACTTACGTGCTGTTTGATTATGCGTTTTTGACAGATGCTTGACAAAATGAGCAATGGAATGAAATAGAATAGAATAGAATAGAATAGAATAGAATAGAACAGAACAGAACAGAATAGGAGTAGAGTAGAGTAGAGTAGAGTAGAGTAGAGTAGAGTAGAATAGAATAGAATAGAATAGAATAGAATAGAATAGAATAGAATAGAATAGAATAGAATGAGTTGGAAGGGACCTTGGAGGTCTTCTAGTCCAACCCCCTGCTCAGGCACAATCTCTTCTTAAAAACATCTACTGTTAGAGCATGCACCACTTCTGGAGGCAGGTTATTCCACTGATTAATTGTTTTCTCTGTCAGGAAGTTTCTCCTTAGTTCTAGGTTGCTTCTCTCCTGGGTTAGTTTCCATCCGTTACTTCTGGTCCTGCTTTCAGGCGCTTTGGAGAAGAGCTTGACTCCCTCTTCTTTGGGGCAGCCCCTGAGATATTGGAACACAGCTATCATGTCCCCCCTCGTCCTTCTCTTCATTAAACTAGACATTCCCAATTCCAGCAGCCGCTCCTTATGTTTCAACCTCCAGTCCCCTCATCATCTTTGTTGCTCTTCTCTGCACTCAACATCTTTTTTATAGCGTGGAGACCAAAACTTATGACCACAAATGAACCCCCAAATTTCTGTTCCTAGCAAGACTTTTGTTAAGAGAATTTGTTAAGAAGCCCCACTTTACGACCTTTCTAGCCATAGTTAAGTGACACACTGCAGTTGTTAAGTTAGCAACACAATTGTTAAGTGAATCCGCCTTCCCCATGGACTTTGCTTGTCAGAAGCGTTCACATCAAATAAATTAAATTGAATCAAACTGAAACAAACTGACGAGTTAAGTTAAGTTAATAATAATAAAGTTGGAAGGGACCTTGGAGGTCATCTATTCCAACCCCCTGCTCAGGCAGGAAACCCTATACCATTTCAGACAAATGTTAAAAATTTAGGTTAAAGTGACAAGCTAAGTTAAGTTAAGTTAAGTTAATAATAATAATAAAGTTGGAAGGGACCTTGGAGGTCAATTACTCCAGGGCTTTTCAACCGGTGGTACGGGTACCACCTGTGGTACATTGGCACCTGGCAGGTGATACGCGACCATCCTAGAAAAGTGGTAGCGGGGGAGAGGAATGAGCTGAACCGGTGGCAGCACCACACAAGCCTGAGTGAGAGACAGCTGGAGCTGCAGGGCTGTCAGGGCTCAGCGGAAGCGCCAGGATCAGTGCCGCTTTCCAGCTGATCGGCGCTTCTTCGGGGCTATCAGGGCTCAGTGGAAGCACCAGGATCAACGCCAGGCTCCAGCTGGAGCTCAGCGCTGATCCTGGTGCTTCTGCTGAGCCCTGAAGAAGCACCAATCAGCTGGAATGTTGCAGCCTCTCCAGGCTCTTGTGATTTACATTCAGGTGCTTGGCAACTGATTCATATTTATGACGGTCACAGTGATCCAGGGTCATGTGAAGTGACCAAAACCTGCTGCAACCACCCAGCAGACGGGTGGGATAAAAACCAAATACCCCCCACCCCACCCCCACTGCCAATCCTCCACAGAAATGCTAACAACAATGAAAACCTCGGACAGGAGGAAGAGCACCACCAGGCGGGCAGGCAGGTGTCTTGCTCGGCTGTGCCTTGGGGGGGGCACTTTTTTCAGTGCCATTGTAATGTCGAACAGTCACTAAGCGAACTGTTGTAACTCGAGGACTACCTGTACTTCATCACTTTTTTCCTTTTTTGGTCATCAAGTTTTTGACACCTTGCTAGGCGACTGGTGGTACTCGGATGTTGCCATATCCTAAAAGAGGTACAATGGGTGAAAAAGTTGAAAAGCCCTGATCTAGTCCAACCCCCTGCTCAGGCAGGAAACCCTATACCATTTCAGACAAAAGTTAAAAGTTTAGGTAAAAGTGACAAGTTAAGTTAAGTTAAGTTAAGTTAAGTTAAGTTAAGTTAAGTTAAGTTAATAATAATAAAGTTGGAAGGGACCTTGGAGGTCATCTAGTCCAACCCCCTGCTCAGGATAGGAAACCCTCTCAGACAAGTTAAGTTAAGTTAAGTTAAGTTAAGTTCAGTTCAGTTCAGTTAAGTTAAGTTAATAATAATAATAATATAATATAATTATTTTACTATTTTTGACTTTATTTGTTATTTGTTGGGAGAAGAAGTTAAAGTGTGTTATGGTTTTGATTGATAGTATAGTTGATTAATGTTAGTTAGATTATGTTTGTTTATTTTATTTTTTATCCTGTAAATCAGCTCTGGGAAGTGGGGGAGGGGGGAAGGGGTGGGGGGGTTTATATTGTAATAAATTTATAAAACTTTTAAATAAATAAATAAATAAATAATAAAGTTGGAAGGGACCTTGGAGGTCATCTAGTCCAACCCCCTGCCCAGGCAGGAAACCTATACCATTTCAGACAAATGTTAAAAGTTTAGGTTAAAGTTAAAGTTAAAAATGTTAAAATTAAAAGTTTAAAAAATTAAAGTTAAAGTTAAAGTAAGTTAAAGTTAAAATTAAAGTTAAAGTTAAAAGTTTAAAGTTTAAAGTTTTAAAAGTTAAATAAATTAACCTTTGATCTCCCCTCCCAGCTTATTTCCCCATCAACCGCTACCTGTCTGTAGCCATCCTAACTTACCGGCAAGGAAGCTGAAGGTAAGAGCTAAACTTGACCACCTCATCTTCACATTACAGGCCTGCGCACTGCTCTTTCTTTGTTCCTCAGCAGCAATGTGACCACTGATGTAGGCTGGACGGTCTGGCATGTTATTTTGAGCACCAGCCCAGCCCCTCCCTCCCTCCCACCCACCCACTCCCACCCTCATGGCAACCCCCCCTTTTCAAGATAGTTGTGGCTCAGCTGTTGAGCTGGGCATTGTCAGCTGTTTTAGGGGTGTTGGCAGTCCATTGCTAGAAACAATGCTGCCCTAAAGAGGGGGGGGGCGCCCTTTTTAAGGACCTCCTGTTCTCATTGCCTTCCTGAGTCCCGGAAAAAACATAAGCCCTTATTGTAATGGGGGGGGGTCTGTCCTGGAGAGGAAAAGGTTGAGAAAATACCAGGGTCAAATTAGCCATGAATTAGCCAAGTTAGCAATGTCGGAAGATGCCCATGTTAATCTCAAGTGGGCGGGGGGGGGGGAATCAGAATTCTGATAGCACCTTTCCAAGGGGGAAAAAATAGAACAGAATATAGAATGGAATAGAATAGAATAGAATAGAATAGAATAGAATAGAATAGAATAGAATAGAATAGAATAGAATAGAATAGAATGGAATGGGATAGGATAGAAGAGGATAGAATAGAAAAAATGAATAGAATAGAATAGAATAGAATAGAATAGAATAGAATAGAATAGAATAGAATAGAATAGAATAGAATAGAGAAAAGGAATAGAATAGAATAGAATAGAATAGAATAGAATAGAATAGAATAGAATACAATAGAATACAATACAATACAATACAATACAATACAATACAATACAATACAAAATACAATATAGACTAGGACAGAATAGAAATAGAAATAGAAACAGGAACAGAAACAGGAAAGAGAACGAGAACAAGAACGAGAACAGAACAGAACAGAACAGAATAGAATAGAGCTGGAAGGGACCTTGGAGTCTTCTAGTCCAGCCCCCTGCTCAAGCAGGAGAACCTATAGGATCTCCTGCATGAGCAGGGTGTTGGACTAGAACAGTGGTTCTCAACCTGTGGATCGGGACCCCATGTGGGGTCGAACGACCATTTCACGGGGGTCGCCAAACAAGGCTGTCTGCCATTTTTTCCCCCTTTTCTTTGGCCACGCCCCTGGCACCCGGTGATGTATAAGTGGTTGGGGGTCACCACAACATGGGGAACTGTATTATGGGGTCGCGGCATTAGAAAGGTTGAGAACCACTGGACTAGAAGATCTCTAAGGTCCCTTCCAACTCTGTTATTCTCTGTTAGTCTCATCCTGCTCCTGAACTCGGTTTATGCAATCTGTTGAGTCCGTGGCGGGAAAACAGACACGAGAAGCAGCTGGAGTTCTCAGTTTCATTTATTCAGCGTTCAGCTTACAGGAAGATGGCTTCAGCCTCGCCCAAACGCCTCGCAGCCTCTTATATAGGCAACTCCCGGGTAAATGGGTTACTTTTCCCGCGCCAGCACCCGCGCATGCGCACGGCGCTGGCGACAGCCTGTCTGGTCCCGGGCAGCTTTGCACCTGCCCGGGACTGCCTGCAAACGCCCGAGCCGTTTGCAAGGCTCGGGACATAACACCCCTTTCCCCCGGGCTAAAACTACTACCAACATACAACATTTATTTTATATGACATTTTGCTCCCCAGTGCTCCCACTGATTACTGGCTTTTGCCTTGCCAGCAATGTTATGTAATCTTCTAGATACTTAGGAGATTTCTTTGCTCTCTGTGACCTTCTTAGCTCTGGGTTACTGGCATAAGTCCCCTGACTGGAGGGAGGCGTGAGCCTGTTCTCTCTATTGTGCCCTGGTGTCTTCCAAGGACTGTGCCCCGATGCCTGGCCTGCTTGCTTGCCCACCGGGCTCGTCAGGCCAGGGCTTCTGTTACTTTGTGACCTGGTTGACCTACCTAGCTGTAGACCCTCAGGCCCCTTGAAGTGATAGCCGCTGCTGGGCGTCTCTGTAGAACCTCCTAGGTCAGTCCAAGACCTGTCAGGAGGCTGTCCATTCCCTGAACCCCATTCTGTGTTCGGGCTCGTGTGGGTTTCTGTACTTTCCCAAAACTCAGGTGTTCCCTGATTTGTGCTAGGGTTGTTGTAGTCGGGACTTGGTTCCTCGACTAGCTCTGTGTATGTTTGACCCCCTGTAGGATTTGGGGTAAGGTCAGGCCAACCTTGGGAATTGTGTGCCAGCTCTCTTGCAGGGAATGATTTGTTGGGATGCCCCCGGGTATCCTCCGTTGCTGGAGTGCTGTGTGATGTGTGTGGAAAGTGAGTATGCCCCCGGGGTGACTCCCTGGCTGGAGTAGGCGTGAGTGCCTGTTGTGTGGGTAAGCTCCATGACTTTCTTTTCGGAGCAATTGCAGAACCTTGGGACGAGCCGTTTGTGGCTCCCTCAGTGGAGATGGGCAGTAGCTCTTGCCCTTCCCTTTGCTCCAAAGGGTCCCCCTCCCCCCCTGGAAAAGACCCAGGAGTCTCAGCAGAAAAGTCTCGCCTAGAGTGAAGTTGGTCGATGTGCCGACGCAGGACACGACCGTTGTCCAGGGCAACCTCGTAGGAGAGAGGACCTGTGATCCTGGACACAGAAGCGGGGACCCATGTATGACCAGGCCCGTAATTGCGAGCCCAAACCGGGGCACCCACAAGTAGTTGTCTAGGTGCCCTAGGATGTGAGGTAGATGAAGGCAGTCTGTCCGGATGCAACCGGTCAAGTCTAGTAGTAAGTTGGCGCCCCCAACGAAGTTCAGCTGGACTTCTCCCTGTAGAAGTGGACGGTGTGGTGCGATAAGAAAGGAGAAAGTCAGCCAACCTGTGATGCCAGTCCCCGTAGGTGAGTCTCTTCAAGGCGTCCTTTGTGATGCGCACCATGCGTTCAGCCATACCGTTGGTGGACGGGTGAAAAGGCGCAGACGTGGCATGACGAATCAGGTTTGCCTGTAAGAAAGCGCATGCCCGGCAGGTAGCAGAGCGGAACTTGCAGTCGGTTCTCCTGTGGCGACCTCCACAGCCGATGCACTTGAGCGGAGCCGAAGAGCTTCCCTTCTGGTTCTCTTCCCTCGCGGGGTGTAGACGGTCGACTTCCTCGTCCGGATCCTCCTCGGAGTTTCGTCGGACGTCTTCCTGGTGCACGGACGCACCCTCTGCACTGTTTCTGATCGGCCGCATGTTTTTGACGGCGCCGCCTGCTGCTTCTTCTGCGGTGACTTCCCTTAAGGCGTCTTGGAAGGATAATTCTTCCTTTGCGAAAAGTCTCTGTTGTAGCTCGCGATGCCTTAACCCGCACACGAATCGGTCCCTCAGTCGTTCCTCGAGGTCCTTGAACTCGCAGGGCTTGGCGGCCTTCCGTAACGCGGCGATGTATTCCTTGGCTGACTCACCGGACCGTTGATCCCTCTGTTCGAAGATGTGGCGCCATGAGATAACGGACACCTTGGGGTTGAAGTGCTCCTTCAGCAGCTTCTTCAGGTCTGCGTAGCTTACAGACTCTACTGGGACAGGTGCTGCAAGGTTTTCTGCGATTTCGAAGGCGTCTTGGCCGCAAACGCAAAGCAGGGTGGCCGCCTTCAAGCTATCTTCCCTCACTTGGTTTGCCTTGAAGTAGTTCTCCATTCTGGATACGTAGGACTCCCACCGCTCTGGATGTGAGACGTCGAATTCCGAAAGCCTTCCGATTTTCGCCATCTTCGGATCTTCAGGAGACGGGTCTATCAGCCAGCCTACCCCCGAATGCGCACCGGATTGGCGGGCAGCTGCCGAGTCGACGCCGTTCTTCTTTCGCCGCTCAGGACTCCTTGGGTAAGCTTACACTTCTTCCTTTCCAGGTAGTGCAAGGCATCCCACCCTCGTCGCCAGTGTTGAGTCCGTGGCGGGAAAACAGACACGAGAAGCAGCTGGAGTTCTCAGTTTCATTTATTCAGCGTTCAGCTTACAGGAAGATGGCTTCAGCCTCGCCCAAACGCCTCGCAGCCTCTTATATAGGCAACTCCCGGGTAAATGGGTTACTTTTCCCGCGCCAGCACCCGCGCATGCGCACGGCGCTGGCGACAGCCTGTCTGGTCCCGGGCAGCTTTGCACCTGCCCGGGACTGCCTGCAAACGCCCGAGCCGTTTGCAAGGCTCGGGACATAACACAATCCATCAGAGTTAATCAAATAAAGCTATTAAAGAACAATCTAAGTAATATGGACAATTAACCAGTGGAATGACTTGCCACCAGAAGTGGGTGCTCCAATACTGGAGTTTTTTAAAGAAGAGACTGGACAACTCATTTGTCTGAAATGGTATAGGGCAGGGCTCTTCAAACTTGGCCCTTTTATGACTTGTGGACTTCAACTCCCAGAATTCCTCAGCCAGGTGTGCCTGGCTGAGGAATTCTGGGAGTTGAAATCCACAAGTCATAAAAGGCACACCTGGCTGAGGAATTCTGGGAGTTGAAGTCCACAAGTCATAAAAGGGCCAGGTTTGAGGACCCCTGGTATAGGGTCTCCTCCTTCAGCAGGGGGTTGGACTAGAAGACCTCCCAGGTCCCTTCTGTTATTCTGAGTGGCGCAAACATCCTCAGAGAGTTCAGAGAAGCTACCCCAAACAAATAATATTTTCTGACATTTCATTTCTGCAAAAAAAAAAACATCCGGCACCTGCTTACATAGTTCTTTTCTTGAAGGAGAATCCTATTTCCCAACCTTGCAGCTCTGAGGCAGAATTTAAGCTCTGCGTATTTTCAGCGCTATTATTTAGCGATATATTTTTAGTTTCAGATTACTTGGCATCCTTCAGTCATTGTCTGGACACTGGTATTTGCTGATGTTATCTCACCTCTTTGAAGCAGGCCAGGTTGAAACAGAGACACCACAGCGATTCCAGGAATGCTGGTTTGTTGTATTATGCACAATAATAGCTATTGGGTATTTATAGTATGTGGGAAGTCAGCCCCCCCCCCCAGAGAAGGAAATATTAAAAGGGCAGAAAAATATATTTCCTCAAAGGATTTTAAAGAGGCAGAAAAACATACCCAGTTTTTCTTAATAGCC